TTTTTTTGTGGGGGGGGGGGGGAATGGCCGAATGGTTAGCACGTGCGCGCTGTATCATAACGTCTGTCATTGAGTCAACTGGCGTGGTTTCGAATCCCCGTTTGTACGTGGCAGGAGTAGGGTCGCCTGTCCAACCTCGTGGGTTTTCTCTGGGTCCTCCGATTTCCTCCCACTGCTAAAGACCCCTACGCGCAAGCGAATTATTGAAATAAAATCGAACCATGTGTTGTTCCCAAAATGACCTAGTTTGTGTCGAGTGGACGTTAAACCCCATATCTCTCTCTCTCTCTCTCTCTCTCTCTCTCTTTTTTTTTTTTCTTGGGAACGGTTTATTAAGTGTGGATATTTGCTACACGTGTACCTGGCTGGGGGATTATAAATTCACCCAATTCCCTGTTTTATTTCTTAAATCTCTCGCTGATACATTAATATGTCCCTTTAAATTGTTGATTAAAATCTTGACGTATCTTTCACACTCATTCTTCTAGGTAAGACAGTCGAGAAAAGAATGAAGTTATTGTATGTAACAAGTTTGTTAGGGTTTGTTATGGAGAGTTTAATGGGTTACAACACGTGCGTTAGTTTGTGCTTGTCTTTAATTATTATCTCTTATAACTTACTAACTAGATAACTCACATACTTAGAATTCATAGGGTACATATATATATATATATCCCAAGGGGTTTTTATTTTAACAAGTACGATCGTACTATGGACCAGGGACTGGCCAGATTGTTGAATTGTTCAAAGAAGAAGCATGCCAATTTTCAAGTCCATTGGACTTGAATTAACGGAGCCTTAGGCTTTTTCGAAGAACGTTCAAAGTCAGATTTAAGTTGAAGAGCTATTCAACTCTGCATATTATTTTAAAATGTAACGTTTGGCTGGGTTGTGTTTTCTTGCTGGAGGGGTTGTTTTGGGGTTTTGTTGTTTTTGAGATGTTTATTTGAAGGGATGGGGGTAGTGGAGGAGAAATAAAGAGATAACCATTGAAGGGAAAACTTCTATAGAATCAGCAGTGGTACCCTTGCCCTTTTAGAACATCTGATACCACTAAGTATTTCAGATGTTAAATTAATTCTGGTTGCACTTCAGTACTCAATAAAGTTTATTTATTTTATTGGTCAAAGTAAGGTTGTATCTTTAAAGTAAGTTCAGATGTCTTCATTACAGATTGGGTTGTTATAAAAAAAATAGGCAAACAAAAAACAAAAACGAAGAACATTTAATTAACATGGCTAATATATCAAAGAAACGCAAATTAAAGACTCGAATCTTTTTGAGGCTACGATTTTAATTTCACTGCAGTATACCCGTTAACTCTTCAAAGTCGACATCCAAATATTTTATGAAGATTTATTTGCCGTTTTTTTTTATTTTGATGTAAGATAGCAATAAAAAAAAAAATAAGACATTTGCGCCATACAAGTGCTTTTAATGATTTGTGTTAAAGAAATCCTGGAGACGAGATGAGAATCTCTCCCCACAAAACATCTGTATTTTCATATTTATCTCTAAAGCTGCAGGATTACAAGTGGTTCGCTAAGAATGGCGGCAGAAACCTCATAAAAATGACTCATTGGGTATTATATAACAATATCTATCATTCCGCGACCTACACAGAAACACATGTTTTATACACAACTATATAGACATTCTACCCAGGTCTTCATATCTGTCATATCAAGTTTCCTTCACAAAAAATCATAAAAATTTGCAACGTCTGCAAGGGTATCTTTGACAAATTCGTGTCGGAAAAATATTCTTTGTTTAATAGTTTTTTATTGTTTCGTTTCGTTTTATTTAATCAAAAATCAAACTTGATATAAATCCAATTTATTATTATGTTTCCTCCACAAAAAAATCACAAAAATGTGCAACATCTGCAAAGGTATCATTGACAAATTCGTGTCGGAAAAAAATTCTTTTTGTATTAGTTTTTTAGTGTTTCGTTTCGTTTTATTTAATCATAAATCAAACTTGATATAAATCCAATTTATTATTTAATATAAGGACTGGGAAGTTTGTTTGAAGAATCGTTTTCTGCTCAATTATTGATGAAAGGTTTCGTGTGCCGTTATTGATTAAATTACGTAATCTGCAGAATTTAAGGCATTCTCTGTTATTTGTGATGCAGAATATTGTAGAAAATGGAAAATATAAATGTGAGCTTTTCTAGATGAAACAAACCTCAACCGCCTAAATATAATCCTTTCATGGTTTTCAAAAGGAAATATTCTAATCCAAGTTTTATGGTAACTCGATCTGGGCGGATTTTTAAGGGGGAAATTTACTTTTGAAAATATTTTAATAATTATTAAATAAATGTTGTTTGTCATTAATTTCATTCAGTTTGACTCTTTTATTTGTCATGTAATTTAATTTCTCTATTTGTGTGTGTGTGGGGGGGGGGGGGCTTTGCCAACGAATTGATCTTTCGCTTACTGAATTCACCAATTTCTCGGAAAGTGGACTCCCTTTCATTGAGGTAAGAGGTACTCACCCCTTGCATCTCCTCTGACTACGCCCTATAGTGGATTATTGGTGTTTTTTCTAGCGGACTAATAGGACCATTAAGAATGTATACCATGATACACATGTTGCCAAAAGAAACTTGTAATGATAAAAGGCTTTAGAGGTCGCGTTGTAAGATAGTCTATGTGTAAAAGGAAGCAGAAGTTATTTTGGCATCATGTTTAATATCACCATGCCTTGGCTAAATTAACCCTACAACTCATTTTACCTATAGATGTTACATCTAAAGGTTATGGTAACAGAAAGAGATACGCCATCATTTATTGGATAATACGTAGGAAGCGTTACCTTCTGCAAATGTCTTTGATATTGTAATTGTTTTATATAAAAATGGCGGATATGATGGAACTTCCATCGTTTATATGGCACCTGATAACGAAATGAACTGAAATGAAATGGGGTTTAACGTCCTACTGTTCTGCTCCCACTATGCTAATGAAGACTTTGCCCGGACAGCGGCACTATGGCCTACTCTTATATCGAATTCCAACTGCCAAGGGGTATTTTACGTGCACGCCAATCAGCACACAGCACTGACGAGGGGAAACCACGTCGGAAAATCGGCCAATGCACTGCGGTGTGGTAGTTGTGTTTTCAAGGTAGAATTCGCCTCCGGCGTTCTAAAAAAAAAGTACACATGCCCTGCCTCGTGCACAACACACGGTTAATGGGTCTAAAATGATGGGTGATGTGATTAAACTTACGTCGCTTATATGGCACTTTGTAAAACATTGCTGCATTGTAGTGTTTTAGAAAACTAAGCATACCCCGTCTAGTGTACATCACGTGGTTAATGGCGCTTAAATGGAAATGACGTTTAATAGTATATTAGCAAAGTTTGTTTTAATCATAAATGTCAGTCAGGCTATTTTTTCTATCAACATCTGTAGAATAAAGATAACATTTTATTGCATAAAACGCCAACGGGGAGTAGAATACTATTATATAAATCACACTGTTGTCACAAAAATACATAATAAATATACATACGTATAGAAACTTTATTGCATAAACATACATACACAGTACATACGAATATAGAAACTTTATTGCATACAAAAAAACTTCCAAGGTTATTTGCATAATATATGAATAAAAGATTATACAGAGAGAGAGAGAGAGAGAGAGAGAGAGAGTTACACTTAACGTAAATTCATACAAAAAGCCCATCACATATATATTTATATGGGGTACCGGTAATATTACTCCCATTGAGCTATACTCCACGGTTAGTCTATGTATTTTAGTAGTTCAACCATTCACAATATTGATCGTAGCTGGAGCTATGTTCGTGTGAATCCTCTACATTTCACATCAATGTCATACTCTCATATCTTGAGATAATAATACTCTTACATTTAATAAAATACTACCTATGAGAGAGAGAGAGAGAGAGAGAGAGAGTAAATGGTTCCATTTTGTTTCAATAATTCGCTTGCGCGTAGGGGTCTTTAGCAGTGGGAGGAAACCTGAGGAACGGGGGGAAACCCACGAGATTGAACAGGCTTGGCTGGCATTTGCAAATTATGTAGTCGCTCGGATTGAATGTAAAACCCGAGGTCCACGGGCGTGCTCGTTAACGTGCATACAACATAACTCATGACATTCGCGGAAGAGTATGCAGAAACGCCGCTGTCCGGGCAAAATTGCTCTCATAGTACATTGCATGATGTATGCCCGTCTTCATTATCCCGGTTAATGCAGAAAAGTTGGACGTTAAACCCCATTTCATTCAGTTTCTATTTGTGAGTGTAAATGTCGAGATATAGTATACACTGCATGGTGCATGTCCGTCTTCATTAGCCCGGTTGGTGCAGAAAAGTTGGACGTTAAACCCCATTTAATTCTATTTCTATTTATGCTAACTGTGAGTGTAAATGTCGAGATATAGTATACATTGCATGGCCTATGTCCGTCTTCATTAGCCCGGTTGGTGCAGAAAAGTTGGACGTTAAACCCCATTTCGTTTAATTTCTATTTATGTTAAGTGTCAGCGTATGTCGCGGTATAAATAGACCTGTCAATAGAGATGTGAACGTGACAATACCAAATGTTACATGCACAGTTGGCTTTTTACAGGTTTTTGTCCAATTTGTAAGCCTTATAAGACATTTATATGCCAGTAGATTGAATGATCGTGTCGATCAAGCTTCGCGGCGACGGTTTTTTTTTTCCTCAGGGCTCCTCCCAAAACAGCTGGTGGCTGTCGTATAAAGACGCGATTATCACGCCACACGAAACTCTTTACCTCATTCACAAAAATAAGCAGTGAGGAAATTAAACACTGACTTAGCAAATAAAAATCCTGACCGGTTTGTCTTTTGTTATTTAATAAGGCCGCCAGCTGGTGTTTACATTTGGGTCTTGATAATCGAGTGTGTGTATAAATAAGTCACATGACTTTGAACGCGATATCGTATAGTAAGCCGGGTGATGAATTATATATATGTTTGTATTTTTTCCAGTGGTTTAGTATGAAACAAGACGTGGGATTAACTATGGGATGATTTTAGCTAGGATTTAAATACTCGTTTAGTCGAAGGTAAGCAGTGTTTCATTGTTTTATTTATCTATTCAACACCCTTTGTCCGTAATACTAAAATATTAAATAATGTCAATGTTTTAATAGAAAACACGCAGCCCGTCAGTCAACCAGTCAGTGCTCGGTTCAATATTAATATTAATATAAGAAATTTGACAGATGTGCGCTTTGTTGATTTGTATGAACAGCTTCAGTTGAGACTTGATTTAATCAAAATATTTTGAATCTAGATTGACCTCAGATCAACGTAAACAGGAAAATGTAATTTATATTTAATTCCTACAGGAATATCATGGTATCGAGTTTTTAGAGTTGGTATTCAAGTTGTGCTCTGACAATGTTACACATTACTCACTAGTAACGGTTAAGTCTCACAGAGAGTAATGCTTTTTGTATAATCCCGATGCAATTTTCTAGCTTCAAAATTGTTTTGAACAGTCAAAATCAAGAATAGATTAAAGAAGTCATGTATCTTGTCAAAATTCTCAAGTACGGTTTTTCACTTGTCAAGGATGCTGCCTGTGGGGCTGACAAAGGAACTGTGCCAAGTCGTTAGGGTGGGACTATAAAACGAAGTCCATTTCTGTATACATTGGCGTGCACGAAAAAGAATTCTTGGCAGTTGGCAATCGAAGATGAGAAGTCGGAATTTTCCCAGCTTGCGCATCTTAGAAATAGCAATTACCACACGTCTGTCTCCAAATAACCAAAAGTATTGTGTTAACGAAACATTCAACCCCCTTCCATCTTATCCAAAACCATTTGGAGGCCGTGAAACGATTTTAAAAAACTGGCCACAGACCAATTGAGTGATAATTCGTTGTTGAGAGTGCCCATCGTTCGCCTGTGTTAATAGTAAAATAAACTTACTATTTGTTTTATTTTTTTTAAAAGCAGGATAATGCACGTGAAATATTTCTGGAATGACACACCAGTGATTTTTATATGTGGGCGTGGGAACGAGATAGCAAGAGGATAGTTTGTGTTGTTTCTTGTTAGTGTTAAGTGTGTGAGGTTGAGAAGCGAACAGTTCTGCTCCGAACTGGGCTAATGAAGACAGGCATACGCCATACAGTGTGCTATGAGGGAAATTTTGCCCGGACAGCGGCACTACGGCCTACTCTTATAACGAATTCCAACTGTCAATGGATCTTTTACGTGCACGTCAATGTCTACGCGGGACCTCGGTTTTTCTTCCCATCCGAACGACTAGACAGCTGTTGTTGTCAGGCCCTCCGTCCTGAAAGAGCGAAACTTTAGATTCTGGAAATACATCTATAGGACACAGTTCTATGGAATACAAGTACTGAGTATTACTGCCTGATAAAGTCTAAAGAGATCTAGTCGTCGAGACCTCGCTTAGCAATAAAAAGTAACTGATACCATAGACTGATTTAGATAACGTTTATATCAGTTTAAATTAAAAGAAGAGTGTAGGCTGAACAGTCGCTACCTTGGCAAAATGATCCCCCAGCATTGGATTATTAACATTGCAAATATATATGTTATTCTCAGATGGACCATAGTACAAACTGGCGTTTAACTCAATTTTATTCTAATGGCTATCATAATAATATGTCTATTTCTATATCTCACGTAAGATGAGTAGATTATAATATATTTATATCACTATAAACAATATTTAAACTATACCTATAGCCTGACGTAATTATAATATACAAGTTATTACTAGCGACGTGTCGACGGGGGCTCTCTTCGGCTTTATTAAACAAAGAATGACAACCATAATACAGGGAAGTTTATACAATATGGAACAATGAATTATAATATACAATGAGAGATAATAAATTAGAAAACCACCAAATGTCTGTATATTAATATATGATATAGTATTATAAATATTGCTACTCTTCAAGATTTTTTTTTTACTATTCTTGATTTTAAATATAGATTGGAATGCGATCTTAATCACTAGGCATGCGAAAACAAAACAAAGAAAGTTACCCGTATATAGACCTAATATAGGCATATATATTCTTTAATACATGACGTAAATCTATTGGGACGTAATCTTATGTTTGGATAGTTATTTTAGACCCGCGAGACGTTAGTCATATACCGTCGTATATAGAAATCACGACACACTGTATTTGATTGTCAAATAGACAAATAATAGAGTGTATTTTGATTTGAATGAAACATACATATGAATAGTGTAATATGTGATAATACTGTTGATTTTAGTTGATCATTTTACTTATAATGTATATTTGTTCTGTGTCATCTATACATGTTATGTTGACCTTAGTCTTTGATGTCAAATACATGTATTGAACTCTGAGTTACGACCAAGGTGTTAAAAGTTCGAATTTCTGAAATACATAATTAGTATTTTTTTAAATGTTAGGGTATTATTATCTCAAGATATGAGAGTATGACATTGATGTGAAATGTAGAGGATTCACACGAACGACCAAGGTGGTAAAAGTTCGAATTTCTGAAATACATAGGTAGTATTTTATTAAATGTTAGAGTATTATTATATCAAGATATCAGAGTATGATATTGACGTGAAATGTAGAGGATTCACACGAACATAGCTCCAGCTACGATCAATATTGTGAATGGTTGAACTTCTAAAATACAGACTAACCGTGGAGTATAGCTCAATGGGAGTAATATTACCGGTACCCCATATAAATATATATGTGATGGGATTTTTGTATGTATTTACGTTAAGTGTAACTCTCTCTCTCTCTCTCTCTCTCTCTCTCTCATATAAATATGTATGCGATGGACTTTTTGTATGAATTTACGTAAGTGTAACTCTCTCTCTCTCTCTCTCTCTCTCTCATATGTGATGGGCTTTTTGAATGAATTTACATAAGTGTAACTCTCTCTCTCTCTCTCTCTCTCTCTCTCTGTGGGTGTGTTAGTTGTTAACGTTATCTGTATAAATGCGGTCTTGGCATTTAGGAAATTTGGTGAACAACATGTTTGTATGATATGTTTTGAGAAAATGTGACAGGACCTTCTAATATTATAACCTGATGTATCCACCCCTGTTAAACAGCAACGGCGGTAGTGTTAGAAGTTCGTATTCCCACAGAAGACCGATGACGTTTAGTTTTGTTGCGTCATGTATGAAAATAACACCTGTATACGTGTTATATCTACAGGTTGTAATCAAGGTAGACCTGCTAATATATACATATCTCAGGTATATTATGTATAGGTATATATATACATGTACGTCAATGGTTGATGTAACCTGGACTGACAGGTCGAACAACTTGATATAACATACAGAGATCAAAACAACATAGATTTATGTTAATAGTACATAGGCCCATAAAACATCAAAGCTACAGGTTGAAATATATTTTACACGGTTACATACACGTCGCTTGTTGTAGATTAAACCTTTCATGTTGAAGGTACATTTAAACGTTAATTAGACAATACAAAAACGACTGTCAGACTCGTGGTGTGCCATGTCTTTAAACAACGACAACTACATTAAATAAACTATAAACATACTTATGGAAAACAGCTACTGATTTATTTAGGCGACGTTTCGAAGAGTATTCTCTCAACGTTTGCAACCTATGTGGCAGTATCCTCTATCAATACAATTAACAGAGAGAGAGAAATGGGGTTTAACGTCCACTCGACACAAACTAGGTCATTTCGGGACTAACATGGTTTAATTTTATTTCAATAATTCGCTTGCGCGTAGGGGTCTTTAGCAGTGGGAGTAAACCGGAGGACCCGGAGAAAACCCACGAGGTTGGACAGGCGACCCTACTCCTTGTCACGTACAACCGGGGATTCGAAACCACGACACTCGACTCAACGACAGACTTTATGATACAGCCATCCACCCCCCCCCACCCCCCAATATATACAATTGACAGAATAGGAGGTAAATGTGTTAAGACCATGTGCAACCTCACATTTTTATTGTAATTTTGTCTATATATATAATTTTGTTAGCTTGAAAACATTGAGATAATAGTCTTCGAAACCTCGCCAAAATAAATCAGTAGCTGTTTTCCATAAGTATGTTTATAGTTTATTTATCTGCCCAGTTACTAAATGCCACTTAAAGAATAAGACAACTATTATTGTTGATGTTTTCAATGATGAAGATTGGGGTGTCACTTTCCAAAGTCGGATGTGTTCTATCTATTCTTATTCCGAAGCCGACGGGCAGGAATTTAGGGGGAATGGGGGCGTAGCGAGAATACATGGAATTCCGGGGGATTGAGGGGGGTGAAGCACCCTCCTCTCCTCGTTTTCGCAATTAAAATTATACCAATATTCGTTCCGTTTTATTTTCCGGTGTTTACTGGATAAACAGAATGAAAATAGCATGTAGTTTTCATTGTTAGAATGTCTAGCGATAATAATTACAATATTGGTGAAAGTAACAGCGCTAGACTAATAGGCTGGTTGGAGAAGGTGACAAATCCAGCTTTGTGGGAAAAAATTCCTACCCAAATGATTTCTTCATTTTCTGAAACAACTATTTCCCTAGTGTTCCAGAAAAATTTTCCCCGCGGATCGGAGTTGAGCAAAATTTTTTACAGCACTTTGAACTTTTCACCCCCTGGGTCAACATAATGAAAATGAAAACCATTTATAACTTCAAAAATATCAATTTTACAGTCTAGAAATGTATTATCAACATAAAGGAAAGTGATACCAAGGAATCCAGAAATGACGTCAAAAGTAACGTACGACCAAAGCCGTATAATATTATAGATAAAGTTGCGACAATTGTGAAGCCAGAAATTTCATATGACGTCATGAAAATATGACCTCAAGTGTAGTTAGACGCCATCTTGGGTCCCAAGTATTTGTACCTACTATCTATTTTATTGTTGTGTCGAAGTTGGCTTCCCCCGACAAGTATGTATATAGATATGTCAGAATACATTTTTTAAACGAAAAGTATAGCTGAACAAACTATTATTATTATTATTATACAGAAAGCGCACATTATTGTTATAAGAATAGTCTAATTCATAAGAAAG